ACTGTGTATAATTTGATGTTTTCAAGCTTACATGAATTTCCAGTTTTGTAAAATAAAATCTTTATATAAGGTTGATGTTAATAGTGAAGCAAAAGCCTTGACAAATGACGGAAATTATTTTTTGAGGCGTTATTTATGTTAATTCAAAGCTTGTTAAACAATAACATTTTTATATCTCCAATCTATTCTACAGTTCATGAGCTCTTCACTGATGTTTTATTCACTGCTATGACCCTTTTTGCTCCAATGCTATTGTAATTTAAACGTATTATTTTATTTTCTTTTTTACAGGCTAATCGCCAGTTTGTGACATAACTGTATTTTTCTAATTGTTGTACGTTGTGCTCGGGTTAGTCATTTATGTATTTATGCATGTTTTTACACTGATCTGAAATCGGGAACGAGATCGGTATTGAGAATAGATCAAGTAGTGTTTTAGTTGACTTGTCTTCTCTCAATGGCGTGCTTGTCAGCCAGTCAGGTGATAGAATAGTATTCTTCTCTCTAACCCACTTCGAGCTCACACGTTGCCGTGATGACACGACTTATGGGTTACTGAAAGGGCTAAGAAGACCGAATCCACCGTTCAACTGGAATAACGGCTCGTCAATAGAACTCCAGGAGTATCTCTTGAAGTCAGTCACTAGTGAGCAGATGATTATCATCAGAAGGGTTTCATTGGAGTTCAACCAGGTCTTTTGTGAGATATCAGCTCACTGAAGTCATTGGTGAATGTCTCGTTCGATTTCGTGAATTGGTTGAAGTTAGACATTAACACCATTGGATGCCGGCTAAGTAGTCTAGTTCGTTAAGCGCTTGGCGCGAGACTGATCGGTCCTGGGTTCAAATCTCCTGGGCCGTGGGATCGTGGATGCGCACTGCTGAGGAGTCACGTACTAAAACGAAACGGTCGTCCAGTGCTTCCAGGTTCTCCATGATGGTCTAGCTTCAATTGATTCATAATTCCAATCTGTGAAATTTCTAAAATCTCAAAAAACTCCTTCTGATGAAAACAGGTTCAGTTTATAATGCAACTCGTGAATTTAACTTTGGCGGTGCAGTAGTGTAGTGAACCAGAACAAAAGTGGGGACAAATGAATGCATTTAAATACAAAATTACGGAACAACTTAGTAAGATCTGAGAACCGTACAGTGAATTCTTCATTTATAAAATGTCAGTCAATCGTCTCGGACTTCATCGTTCTTTCGTTTCCACACCAATCATTCCCTATTCTCGTTCTCTTTTCTTTGATCATCTTAGCCATCTGCCTCCAAGCATTCCACTTTCGATTCATGATGCATACTATTTATATCTATCAACATCAGTAGCACACATTGCAGATCTACTTCTGAATGCATCTATTTATCACTTTATATATTTATCACTTGCAATGGTCGCATGATGTCGTTTGTGTATGAAGTTGTGTTTGTAAAGTATCGTCACATTAAAACACTACGTAAGCATTATTAGCCGTACATTAATAAAAGACAATTTATTCGATTTAACGCTGAATGATGAAATGAATGGCAAATATAGAATACAGTGAATTCAATGAGTAAAAAGTAGGAATTACTATTGAAATAATTCAAGATGTACTTGATTTAGTTGAGAATGAAAGAAAATGGATACATTTCGTTGTAAAAAGTACTTCTATACAACTAATAAGGAGGTTTAGTCAATCAAATACCGATTAAGTGATAATGAACTAACAACGCAGAACAGCTTTCTACCAGTTACGGTTTAGTAAATCAGGTTTAAATTGAAATATTATAGTTTATACTTTTGTAAGGACTTAATTTTATCAAGAGAACGCGATTGGTTTAATGGAAACAATTATTATTATAACCGATTGTACCAGTGATTGTTTTAATGTACCTGTTTGTTTATTGTACTAAAGACATTCATTCTTCTTCTTCACGAACCGATTGAAGCTAGACTACACAAGATGTTTACATTATGTCTTTTTCCTTCCAGAATAGCAATTCGTTCTGGAGGCCAATCACTTACGTGGAACCGAACATTTATCAACTTTATTTATGTATTTCCATTTGGTATCTTCTTATTTTATGCAGGTAGTGGAGCAGTTCTCCCTGTTTGATTGGACGTCACCATTACCTTTGAAGTAGATTCTTCTTTACTTTTTACTTGGAGGCGATTCAAGAGGCAGGTAAGTAAACACCTGATGGCCGGTCTGAGCATTAAAAAATCGTACATCACCAACATGGTTTTGCATAGCCCACTCAGCTATTCTTATCCCACAATCTCACACTCTCGCGAGCACGTAGCAAACAGTCAGCGATAGTACTAGAATAAATCACATGCTACAGAGTAGGATGACAAGCTAGCAAATGAAGAGACATCCATGGACTATCGCCGATCGCCGAAGGAGTTAGTCGTCATTGATCACAGGTCAAACAGTGAGTGAGCTGATAATTTTCCCCTGGGCCGAGGAAACTGAACTAAGGTGTTTTTGATAGATAGGCTAGTCGAACCGACGTTCCTACAGAAGTCGATTCTAGGGGGAAGTTAATGTAACAGCTTAGGTTGGTTGGATAACAGTTCACCTCAAACAACTAGGTATATGTCAAAACAAAATAGTTCAAGTATTCATTCACTTCCTTATTTTGTATAAGTGTTATATTTCCTATTATCTCATATTAAATGTTGAGAGACTTTATTTGTCTGAACAAATATTCCCAAGCTCCACTGTGACTGCGCGAAGATCTAAATAAAAACCTTTTCACTACTTGTCTGGTTTCTTCTACCAATAGCACTAAAGTTACCTAGAGACACGAAAAGCTTAGTGTCCCCAAAGCGAGTAAGGAAAACAGCAACAACATTTTCTGCTAGTTGGTATAAAATACAGTGGATTCTGACCTTTGTAATCACATCAAAATAATCATCTCATCGAGCTTGTGCGAGCCTGTAGCGCTATCGGTTTCTAACCACGAGACCTTTGACGCTGAGTTGATAATAGTTGAGATCTGCTTTCAACATGCAACGCCAAAGCCTCTTGATCTTCCATCAAATATATTACTCTCTTCCCAGTTCAACTGTGTTCTTCAGCAATACTGAATGTCATACTGTTGATCGTCACGATAGGTCTAGTCAGTGTAGTGAATGACGTGGCTTCCAAGTAAGATCTTATTGGTTAGGTGGTCAGATCGTCACAAATCTACAATATTGGGATTATTTCTGTTATTATAGTGGTATTATTAACGAGGTGGACTATGATTTTACAAGCGACGAGTTTGAGAACTTACCATAATTACAGCTGTGGTCTGTTTTTTGCGTAAACAGATTCTGATTGATCCTCAGTATGCCCCTTAATACTGCATCACTTAGATCGTCATGTGGTTTTCTTCGAACACCCAGTATGTTGGACATTTGACCCCAGCTGCTTTTTAAACCTTCGGGATTTTAAATTCATAACATTTGACTATTGCTTGAGTTTGCATTTTATGTGCTCGAAATGAACAATCAGATATCACTACTGCTATGGTGTCTAGTACTAGCAAAAAAAACTTACATGATTCCCCTTAATTTGGAATGGACCTTAATATGTCATACATGTGACTCTGGAGACATTTTTACTTTCATAATATCCTAATTGTTTTCATAGATTCTTGTGGCCACCAGCACGCAAACACATTTTATTCTTATGTCCTTGTGTCTCCTTGTGTGTACCTGTGTAAGTTTATCTATCATTCATTTCTTTATCTAGTTCCTGTGTATTTGCAACTCTACGCATTACCTATTTTGAGATACATTAGCGCTTGTAATAAGTAGTGTAGAGAGTTGACACGCTTTCCAACTCCTCTTGACTTCGATTTCACGCCCGTTCCTTTTAACGTTTGTTTGTGTAAACGAATGCCTGCACTGAATTTATTCAACTTAACCTACAAAATTTTTCTTCTTACGGCCATTGCCTAAGTGCACATGTGAAATTAAATGGAAGATTTGTACTCATGAAGTATACATACGTCCCTCGAAATTATGATAAGATAAGCGAACCACTCATGAAGTAGGCCTGGAGTGATCGGACTCTCAGGACAAGCAGTTTCTGTTCCATATGTTTAACCAATGACCATTCATGGCATCTGTACTCAGCAAACGTCGTCTTCACTTCTTAAACGACGCCAGGCTTCTAACACATGTCTACAACCACTTTTTGTTTAATTGATAACGCTAGCTATAATATCCTTATATACATTAAGTTGAAGACGATGAATTTCCAACCGACTGCTAAGTAAGGTGTTCATCTTATCTACTGGACACACTCAAGCTAAAGGAGCTTGGTCACGCATCTATACCTAATCATCAGTGGATACCCGTGCTACGCATCCATTTCGACTATTAACCAGCTTAGATCAGACGTTTCTCTACAAGTCAGTAGCTTTATAAAGACATTTCTGAACTCCTTCATTTTGGGCTTCTTACTTGTCTCTGCTGGTGTCTTTCGATTATCAAGGTGTTACGTGTAAAGACGCGGTCAAACTACAAACATCTATGACAACTTTACGTTTTTTTTGTTATAGTCTAGCTTATTCACCTTCGTGATTTGTTCTTCTTTCACACATACAATGAACAGGTGAGTTATCTGTTTTCTTTCACGCTTTTGCAAATTAATCATATGAAGATATCATTTTATTACTAAGGCAACCACGTAATAAATACAGTATAGCTATTTATTCACTGTCGTCTGACAGTCAGTATAAGGGGAACTTAAAAGTAAAAAGTAGGAGTGAACGAAATTGAATTTTTAATATAAGAATCACTAGTGAAGCCCTAAAGATTGTTGAGATTAATTCCAAATTTTTACGAATACTATACTAAGTTACAGTGAAAGTAAATACTACGTTTATTCCGCACTTCTTGTTCATAAATCTCTCAGATAAGGCGGTCCTATAAAATCTTTGTTCAAGCGCTAAACAACTAACAATTTTTTACTAGTTTGAGGAGACATTGGATATTGAGGCTCAGACCAATTTTATTATTCCAGCTGTGAAGGCGGCTTGTAGAAAGCAGTACGTTACTTGGTCTGCTGTATTCCGGGTCTTCTATTTTGAGTCTAAAGTCGATTTGATCAATAACTCCACTTTTGTGAACATGCCTTCGGAAATGTATTTTAATTTGGAGTCCATACCTGCCACCGTCGACGAAGTTGTTGTTTCTGGATTGAACAGGACGCACGATTCAATTGTCAAAAAACAAGTAGTTAATAATCCTCGATTTGAACTTTGATTTATCAAGTTTGTGGGGCTGGTAAAATCACAGAATTTACGGGACCTTTTTGAGAATGTGAAGGTTGCTAAAGAAAAGCTCGTAAAACTTGGTGTGTTCAAGACCATTTTTGCTGTTGTGGATGTGTCTGAAGATCATTCTAAGCCGAATGCGTATAAAGTAATTGTGTTTAAAAAACATAACTTTTGAAAGGTGTTTTCAGTATTCAGTATGCCTCGTGTCTCTCAGTGTTATGTGAATTGTAACTGTACACAATGGTAATAGTACCCGTTATTAGTGGCCAAGTATCGGTCATCAAAGACATTTATTTAAAGAAACTAAAAGCTTCATACGTTTTGTCTGTTGTTTCGATTAATGAAGGAGGATTTCTTGCCCGAAAATATTAACTTTCATCGTAGAGGCTATGTAAAGCCAAGGAAATACAGCCTTTCAAATGAAGTCTTGGAATATATTCACTTTGCAGTCCTCCTTTCCAACATGTGACAAGTACTAAAATTCGTAATTTAACACTGTTATATCTCATGATTTTATGGCTGCATCGGATTAGTCTTATAATACTGTGCTTTAAAACTACCTTTTTGAGAGAGGTATCTTGAAATGATTGTGAAAATGTGCTTAAACGAAAATGTATGATCAGTCCCGTCCAAACTGTCAATAGAGTTATTCGGGGTAACCTAGTTGTCTAGTCTCGTTCCAGTTTTTCGTAAGTTATATTCTGGGGTCAGTTCACAAAAGGTACTCTAATTAAATCCTATGATTGATGCTAACTAATGATTTTCGGTTTAACCATTACATTATCTTAGCTTCATATTTTTCACGATTTTGCTTTGAGGATTGGCAACTTACTGTGAAGTTTATTTATGCTTAGTAAAGGACATGGACTAACTTGTGGAGCAGTGAATTAGTGACCTGAACTATTGTCTTTCAATGAATGGGTTACTTGTTTATTGTATGTGAACACAGTTTTGCCTGAGTACCTGCTAACATTCTCGTCGTCTGAACTTTCGTGAATTGATCTTCCACTATGAGCTCCACTCATTAGCTTAGAATACTAAGATGACATAGTCCTGTTTGGTGAAGATGCCGATAAAATGCAGTCTTTTGCTATTTATTTATTTTATTTATTTGAACACAAATATTGGTGCAAGGAGGCGCCAAATATATATGCGTCTTTTGGCAATACTGAGCAACAATGCCATGATGTTTGAAATGCGTCCCTACCCCTCTAATGCAATTTGTTGCTTCAGGATTGGCATACCTCAACACCTAAGGAACTAAGAATAGGGAGTGAAGTAGTCGAAAACGTTGACAACTCCACATATCTTGGAAGTCCGATCAGCCCTAATGTGTTGGTGTCTGACGAAATCTCTGCACAGATTCAAAAATTTCGTTTGCTTTTTGCCAATTCACTTGACTTATAGTGAAGTCGAGATATCCGTCTGTCAATTAAAGGACGAGAATACTGCACAGTTCGTTCTGTTTTACCTTACGGCTGCGAAGAGCGGCTGTTAAGAGTAAAAGATGCTCGTAAGTTACTAGTATTTGGTCACAGATATCTTGGGAATATAGCTCGCATCTGATGGGGTCACCGGGTAATAGCGAGGTTAGACGGGGGCTATCAGTGAATGACGATAAATCAGTTGATGGGATTGTAAATCTTCACCGACTGAGTTGGTTGGGCTACGTGTTACGTGTGCCTGAACATCGATTACCATGTCTCACAATGCTGACTAGTGTTGTAGATGGTTTAAAAATGTTCGGGGCGGCCAAAGCAAAACCTGGCATCAGTCCAAAAGTCACTGACTTCTAGTCTGAGCCATGTTTGTAGATTAAAACTACTTGGTTGGGGTCCGCGCGACTATCCTAACCAGTGGTTGGAGAATCTGCGTGACATGGTTCAGAATCAATCACAATGATTTAGGTGTATACACTCCTTGTCTTCCCTTAAACGGTGAGATTAAAATTGCTTTATGCCTTTCTTTCTATGAACTGATTCTTTCTTTCTGTTTTATATCCTTATACAAAATGTTTCTCTTATATTTTTCCACTATTGAAGTAACTACTTCTATGAATTTGGCGTTCACCTTGTTGTGCTAATGAGGCGTGACAACTTGAACCGATGCATATATGTGCCTGGTCTTGCATTGTTGCTGACTGACTGACTGAAATATTATGTCCCGAAAATATTTTTATTCAGGTTATGGTCACCGGCATTTCAAATGTTTTTGAAGTTGAGGCCTGGTTTGTGTGTAGTTTTAGACCATCTACCTTGTTTTGTCTTTAATTTTGCTAGTTTAGTCACGGTTGTAACATGTGTTTAACTGTTTTCATTTCCATTCACATTTTCTGTTTGTGTTGACCAGATTACCTTCAAAGTTGAGGAAAAACGCTTCGTTACCGCCCGAATGTCAATGACTCATGGAACTGATGGAATTACAAAGGCATGTGGAAACGTTCGTCTCAATAATTTTGCTCATAATGCTGAATGTGCTGATATTGATGTTGAGATCGGTTCAAACCAGATGGTTTCCAAGTAATTTTTATTCCTGATAAACTCATCGTGTAGCTTCTTGTCCCGTACATTTCTATTAGCTCTTTATCGTTATTATTAATAAGAACCATTTCCATGATAGTCAGTGGTCCTGTGTTACACGTTACATAGTGATTTCATGAATTATCAGGAGTGTCATTAGTCCTTGATTTCTATGCTTTCTGGACCAGTAACCGTGTAAGAGTTTATTGCACGAAATTGGTTACTATACGTTAAAAAAGGGTAGTGTGTATCAGTTTATGCTGTCCATGATACTGAGAACATTAAAGCTTTATCTTGAACCCTCGTTATTTCTGTAGTATTTTCACACTCAGTAAAAGTATCACCACTGAATATCGATACTATGTGCTTAAACGAGGCTAAGTCTTGGTTGCGATAGGCAAAAAAATTGAATATATATTTTAGGATGTAAATGATATCAGTACTTCAGTAGTTCGGATATGCTTAAGTGAAAAATCTTTCCGAGTTTTCTGTATGATGCATTTTTTTTCTTATTATTACTGCAACCGTTCGTTTTGTTCTCAAAAGTATTCTGTTTCTTACCATAATATATATTTCATGCGCCTTACTTTTCTTGATTTTGATATTTCAAGTACACGTCTTTGCATTTGTATGTTTGATCTTATATGTTGATACTAAGCTTTCTATTGTCTAGCATCCTTGAAAACTTCACTCACAGGCAATAAGCAAAGTTAATCTTTAACATATAGATTAAAATGGTTATAATTTTTTAACAGAGCAATGGTTAACGAATACGGATAAGTCACAGGGCACTAATTAATATTAGTGAAGATATATTACATACCTGTGGTGCAACATATGTGGAACTCCTCTTTCTTCAATTAAACATATTCGTTTAGCTAACACTAAGTCATATCATGTCGAAGGATTTAGACATCCCGGTGAAGTAGTACCTGGTTTTTCACTCCCAATGTGCATCCAGTAATGCTGCATTCCCCCCTTTAGAAAAATGCTAAACGTTGTGTCTTAAAAGCAAAATGGATAAAAATTTATAAAACGTGACACTTCATAAAACCCATTGTGGTGAATTTGAAATATCTGCTCCTTAAATTATGTAGGCGCTAACTAACTGCTGGAGCTATAATTGAAGGTTTTCCTTATCATACTTCCTATTTATTGTGTTAAATAGGTATTGTAGGTGTTATGATCTTATGCCTTGTTAATAAATCACGTGGTCAAATCGCCCATTAGAAGAGACTTAAAGTATCTTGGCACTGTGCCAAACTATAGACGCGTTAACCAGTACGAGCAGCCTAGAGCGAATTGTGAGCCCTCATTGCCTCTTTTCGCCTAACCCTGCCCGTTTGAGTTTGGAACACAATCTCATACTTGGTTTATATGCAAGCAAACCAGACCGCATCATATTTTTTCATTTATTTGAACACAAATATTGCTACAGAGGGGCACCGAATACATATGCGCCTCACAAGTCACTTGATTTGTGTGTGGACTGTGATACTGCCCGGAGGCGTAGACCAAAACAGTTGATTTTCTTAGGGGTCCATATCCGGAGCCTTCGACCCAATCATCTAGTTTACAAGGCAGTGGAGCGACGTCAAGCGATGCATTTCCATAGAAGCTGTTGACCAATAAATGGTTCGTACACCATTCGTTCACTCAGGATCCTGAAGCCCATATGCATCGGTTTGGAATAAGGGTTTTCCAACTCCCCTAAGTGGATCCTCCATAGCCACCAAACCAAAAGTGACTATGAGTGGGAGAGACGTAACTAATAAATCGGGAATAACTTAAAAACAGTAAATCCTATAGTAGTAGTCAATGGGTCATATGGAAGCTTATAATAAATAACTCCTAACAGCTACGGTTCACTTATTCTTCGTTAGGATATAATAGTTCTTTTTTATTTACGTTCTCCAGTGAAATCAAGTCCGACGTTACTACGCATACATTTCTTTTCTCCTGTTCTCTTTATTCATTCGAAGGTTTGCAACTATTTCAAAGCCATTGGAGAATAATCCATACGTTCGTTTTAGTATTGGTGGGACAGAAGGGAATTGGGATCACTATTGGGCTAAATTTCTGCGACATGAACGTTCAGTTTTTATGGAAGCTCAAGCAGAATCCTCCGTTGGATTGCACAGATTTCAATGGGATGCAGTGTGGCGAGAAACAGAAGTTAAGGGTAGGTTAAGTGTATTTATCGATAGCATATAAAAGGATAGTAAGGTAGAAATTCTTCATTTCCTTCCAATTTTAAGTGTTTCTAGTCAATTCGGTCTTATTTTTCATGAATAATCAGTTTTAATACAATGATTTCAACAATATTTTTGATGTGAATCAGTCAACCAGTCCTTGTCCAAATCCTATTAATCACTCTATGTACACTCTGTTTTCTGCTGGACTCTGTTGGAAAATATTGCCACACAGATGTGAATAGTTTTGTGGTCTGGATTATCGTTTTAGTAAAATGTCAAAGCATTGTCATGTCCTCATCTATTTCCAGAATGTTTCATATCACTCACTGTCAGTTTCTATCATGAATGAGTGTTATTTTCTCTTGGCGTCATTTATTTATTTGGACACATAAATATTAGTACAAGGGGGCACCAGGTGTGTATGCGTCACACAAAACAATGAGAATGGGAAGAAAAAAGGAAGATAAGTAGCGTAAAAGAAAAAGAAGAAGAACAATGACGATCAGGTTAGCGTAAGGTAGTGTAATAATGATAATAATAACAGTAATAATGGGAGAAACGGAAAGGTACAACCAGAAGAAATCCCTCAGTTAAGGGAGTTACAACCACTTTTTATGAAGAAAGCAAGAGAACGTTACAGCAGGATCGCCACTGGCTTCTTTTCTGATCCATATCTGATAACGTCTCTAGCCACTGTGTCTTACCATCTCCCGGACCTCAGCCAGAGTGTTTAGAAGGACGAAAAGAAGCCAGCTCTTTTGCAGCTTTCTTTCATACTACGACACCAAGTCATGCACTGACCACCTCTCCACTTTCTCCAACCATTCCCAGCGTCGGCAAATAATGCACGGCGTGGAATTCTGTGGGACAACATTCGTAGAACATGTCCAAGCCACCGCAGTCGATGTTTCAAGATGGTGACACCAATTGCATTATCGTCACTGCACCCGAGCACATGATGCCGAACCTCTGCATTACTGACATGGTGTTGCCACTGGATGTCAGCAATCCTTCGAAGACAATGATGATCAAACACATAGAATCGTCCAACGTCCTCAACTCGGAAAGGCTAGGATTGACAAGCAGAGAGTAGAACTGCTTTCACCAACGCGTCGTAGATCTGACATTTTACAGACAGACTGACATCACGAAGGTGCCAAAGGTGGCCCAGATTGGCATACGTCGCTCTGGCTCTCACTATACGTGCATTGATCTCACCACTCATGCCACCACTAGCACTTATGCAGCTACCCAGATATACGAACTTCTCGACTACTTCTATCTGCTCACCATCCAGGGTGAGTACAGGATTAGAATCCTGCCAGTCTTGTAGAAGTACTTTGCACTTCGAAGGTGCAAAGCACATACCATACCTACGGACACTGATTGCCAACTGATTAAGTGCGGATTGCATGCCTTGGGCATTATCGCACAGTAAGACAATATCATCCGCATACTCAAGGTCGAGGAGTCTTTCTCCAGGCAACAGATCCACACCGCTACTACTTACATTCATCAGAGCTGTTTCCAGAATTTCATCGATGGTAAAGTTGAAGAGGAATGTTGAGATTGGGCAACCCTGTCTAACCCTACTGCTTGAATGGAACAATGGAGAGAGGTGGTTGTATGCCCTCACTCTACCTGAGGTGTTTGTATATAGGGCCTTTAAGATGTTGATGAACTTCTCAGGCACACCCTTCTTCAATAGACAATCCCAGAGAACAGTCCTGTTCAACGAATCGAAGGCAACCCTGATGTCAAGAAACGCTACGATTGTTGGCCTGTGATAAGTATGAAGGTGCTCTAACATTTGGCGGTGGGTAAAGATATGGTCAATACATCCTCGACCAGAACGAAAACCATCCTGCTCCTCGCGAGTCAATCTTTCTCGGGTTTTGAACAACCTACGAAGTATGACGGAAGCCAATAACTTAGATCCAATAGGAAGTAGACTTATCCCCCGATAGTTTTTACAGGAACGACGTGAACCCTTTTTAAAGATAGGGACAACTATCGACTCATTCCATGACGTTGGTACACTCTCTAGTTCCGAGACCTTTGTAAACAATACGTTCAGTTCCTTAGTCAGAAAGTCACCACTATCTTTAAAAAGAGCGGAGGTAAGTCATCTAGGCCTGTGGTGCGTGCTACTTATATTGACATAAGTAGTATATAATGCGAGTCAGGAATGTAATGTCTGGCAGCAGAAGATTGGGAAGATCAAGAAAGGAAGAACGGAAATAGAAAGCAATTAGTATTGAAATGCAAGAACAATGAAGTTCGAGATAATTATTGAACATTTGCAAATTAGGTATTATAGTATGGTTTTTCTATTTTAACAAGAAACTCTGTAATGTGCTAAAATAATTCGGCTGTCCTCACCTGTGTTCTCCTTCACTACAGGAACGTTGATACTCTCTTGGCGTTGGTATAGTCCTGTTGACTACTTATAGCCACCATTTTATCCTATGATATCATCATAGGATTTGATCTGCACTACAAAGGACCTGACATACATGATCACCACCCAGTGATCAGTCAATTATTGGTATACTCATTTGAAATAAACAAGATTATCATAGTGTATATTGGAAGAAAATAAGTTTCATCCTATATTCAATTCAGATTTTTAATTCAACCCAAATGTTTGCATAGAGGGCTTGATTGACCTAAATAGATTATAATATTGATTGTTTATATTAAACATTTACCCTCAATGTAAATTTCTTTGGGATTTACCTTGTAATTTATGTGTATGACTTTCTCCATGTTTATTTTGTCGTAACAGAATACTATGAGACCAACTACAGGTACACTTAAATGTTTCCGGATAATTAACTTGCTAGGCTAGATTTTTTACGTAATATCAAATGATATACAGTGCTGGTGAATTTCCGTGAAAATTAGAAGTTCCCTATGAATATGTTGTAGATGGGTTGGCATTGTCTTAGCAGGTTTCGCTGATTACTCATATCTGAAGTGATTTGCTGAATAACGGATTTTAGTGAGCTAGTTGGTTGCTTTTTAAAGTTCTCAAGGATTATTGTTACTGAGACGTTGTATAATCTGTCTCACTGTTGCTAACATTAGTGAGTTTGGCAGTGTGAGGTTTACACTTTTTTTTAAGATTTATAAATAAAATGGAGAGCAATGTGAGTACCGTAGGTCGTTCTTTAATGTATCATACTGATAGATTTTTTTTCCGCTTAGAAAATATGATATCCCAGATACCAATATATGAGCTTGACTAATGTGCAGATCCATACACTATTCTTACATGAGAATTGATAGTCATTACAGAGTTCAGGGTACAGTTAAATAAATATAAAAAGATTATCCCGAAACGTAATAAAAACTATCTCTTATTACGAGCAACCTAGATAACAATCGTCTCTTATTTTATAACGTGTAACATTTCTGCTGTCTCTAACATCGGTTTTCGTAGTTGGTAGGTTTCATTTCAACAGAAATTTGTAAAATGTAGTAGTTTGGTTAACAAAGACCTTTAATAATTTTGTAATTTATTGTAAGTGGTTATATTTTCTTTTTTCTAGATCCTACTGCACCGTTAGGCGTCCTCAAAGAATGCGGACCAGCAGTGAAATCTAGTCTTCGTCATGTTTTCGAATCAGATGCTCGTCCTGATTTAGTCTTTCCAGATGCTGGGTATCTCTGTAGAATAAGTCAAGAAATTGCCTCTATTACTCCTGGTAGTCAAACAGGACAGTCTAATGTTAGTGATATTTCTTCTAGGTAAAATGAATGAATGTTACTTTAATATTTTATTATCATTTCAATGAGTATTTCCATAAAACTTATCAAACAACGGATCATTTAATGGTTAAAATTTATTTTAACCGGCTGTTTTCATTTACAATGGTTTTTGTTTGATAGCTTAGAAACGATACTCATTCTTTTAGGGCAAATTTGATTAAAAGTAAAGATTTACAGAATAATCTAGGATAGTGTAGTGAACGAGAACATAAGGGGGTACAATCGAATGTATTTGAATACAAAATTACAGAATATCTTATTAAAACCTGAGAACCGTACAGTAAATACTTCATTTACACAATGCCAATCAAACGTCTCAGACTTCATCTTTCTTTCGTTTCCACATCAACGATTCTCTGTTCTCGTCCTCTTTTCTTTGATCTTCTTAACCTTCTGCCTCTAGACGTTTCACTTTCGATTGATGATACATACTACTTATATCTGTTGACAGCAGTAGCACACACCACAATAGTACCTGATTCAATAACATTTCTGTAGATGCTGGATTGTACTTCACGAAATCGTTCAATACATTTTCCTGAAATGATTCTGTATTAGAGATGCGTTATTATTGTCGAATAATTGCTATTAGTTTTAAACATTCGGGAATATAGCTGCGAAAAATCCAGTAAGTGTATAATAAAAGGAACACATTAGTGAAATTTTAGTACCGAATACCAACATAAAGATTTAACGAGATAATTTCAAATTAGTTTAGAATTGGATAGGTTTTTTCTTGTTGTAATGTCCATTTGATTATTGACAAAGTAGGATCTAGCATGAATGTATTTCAGTGCAAGTTGCTGTGTCTCGAATTATCACAGCGAAATAGGAAATAATACTAACTCCAGTAGAAAGCTAAACATCAGAAATATAGATGTCATTATCAAGGTCTGATCTGATAATTTCAAATAAATTGGGTAAATTGTTACAAATAAATATTATATATTTGTGATGTCCCATTGGGTGAAAATTAAGATTTTTAATTTTTCTTGTGTTTCGCGACCTAATGTAAGCCACTTCTTCAGAGAACAAGTAAACGAATTAAATTGATGAGTCTAAGTTAGATCTCCATTGAAAACCCAGAAGCACTGGACAGCCATTTTGTTTTGCGACAAATTAAATTTATGATAGAGTGGACAGTCCTGACGAACTCTACTTGCCGTAGTCATTCTCGATTACAGTTCGCTGTGACCTGACAAATAATGTCCAGGTTAGAAACCTTCGCAGTAGGTTTTCAGTCGAAGTAATGTATGTGTTATAAATTCCTTTATCACGACCCAGCTATTATTGCTTATTATTCTTGGGCACTACTTTACTCGACAAGTCCCCGAATCAGAACACATTTGAACAGGAACGAAATTATATTCTAGATAACAAAGGTAGGCGGAAGTAGGAATTACAATAAGAAAAACGTTAGTGTGTTTATAGTTTTTGCACCAGAAGATTCTAGAATACTCTTCAGGTATCCACTAGCGCTAATTGGTTAAGAAGTAGCCAATTAGCGTGCTATAACATAACTCTGCAAGAAACATCCCTTACTCCAATCTATATTTCACTAACAATGTGAATCACATATACATGCCACCTTTGACAGACGCTAATAGCATACTAAAGTATGTTTGTATTCGCTTGCTCTTTAATTAACTTCGTTCTTTTCATTTTAAAGTTCATGTGTTTAAAAATAGTCGTTAGGGGAAACTCTGAACCTAGGCCCTGGTGCTAGTTATCATTCGTACCTCCAATCTACGGTGAACTGATTATTCTTTTCGTACTCAAATCCTTATCACCTCACCTTATACTCTGTGACGTTTGTCTAGTCTTTAGTGCTGTCGTTATGGGCTGACACTCAGGAAACCGTACTCAATGTTCAGTCATTGTAAATTATCTATGCTCTAAAAAAAGAACTCACGCAATACTTTTCACGTATCTAGTGTTGTTTACAGATACCATATAAATCTTTGAAAGCTGTTAATTGCATCCAAGTGTAATTAATGACTACTTAGAACTAATCATTGCAATCTTTTCTTCAGTGAAACAGATTCTTTAGTTGATCGTGCATTGCAATTAAAATTGGAGGGATTGCTTCAGAAACCATTTCGTTTATGTGAGTGGCTTGTTGGAGAAGTGACATTTTCTTCTGGATTGATTCATTCTTTGACCAAACATCCGGTAAGTATTATATATATATATATATACAGAATGCGCACTCTATCGATAAAGTAGATAACCAGACCAACATATAGTTCTCATGATACACAAATGCACAGCTCCATTAAGTTCTCCGTTCGAACCCCGCCCCCACTTCTGTTTAGACAACCAGGTCGTATCAGTTCCACGCATATACACACCTATGCACCACACAAACCTCATTCGATATGTGTGAGGGCTGCGGTACCGCCCGGGTGCCCAAACCGAAGCAGGTGGTTTTCCCAAGGGACCACTCTTCGAGCCTTCGACCTGAAGGTCTGATCCACAAGGCAGTGGAGCATCGTAAGGAGATGCAGTCCCATGGAAGCCAGTGACCAATAGTTGGTTCATACGCCATTTGTTCCCTCAGGATACTGGAACCCCCAATGTGCACCACTGGTTCGGAATCAGGTTAAAGCGCCGGACATTCACTTTCCGAATTCTCATTTTCGTAAACAACACCCGTGGTGCGAGAAGGCAGTGAGTAGGACTTCCCTGGTAGTGGTTGTATGCACATGGCCACTTGAGAGCGTTTCGGGAGGGAGAGCTTACTCTCCCCACCCTTGGTCGTACCAAGGCATTTGGGGGCATGAGTTGAATATAATTTCAGTAATGTGAAATTCAAGTTTTCAAAATAAAATTGTTATAACTTTTAACCTGTGTGCCCTCTAAATGTATAACGTAATGACACCGCCAGTCAGAGAGCAGTGAATTATCGATCAAACCAAGGAGGCGTAAAACACGTGCGAGCAGTATAGAGTCCTTATTGGTCCTGCTTCCCGCCTAGCCCAGTAAGTTAAGTCCAGAACATCAATCTCAACCTCTGCGATATGAATCACTTACTTCAAACATACTCGGTTTATATACCAACCAGACAGACCACATCGTACCATAAAATGGAAAATAACATTTGTACAATATTTGACCAAATGTGGCTGTGAATGTGGAAGGTTGTAATTAATAGACAGGGCATAACTCAAGAACGGTAAATAGTATAATACTAGTTCATATGTGAAAATAAGGCTCATAATAAGAGGGACATGAATATGTATAGTTTGATTACTTAACAATTATACGATAAAAATATACTCATAGTATTGGTCCATAAATGGATTCCAAAAGTTACCATTCATTATTCTTATCTGGGTATAACAAAAATTACAAAAGTAAGATTTTTACAAAATGATTTCTGTATATATAGCATCCGCAACAGAGCTACAATATAGAAATAGTCATTTATATTACCAATTACAGCGAAGTGTATCTTTCTTTGCTCAGTCACCAATCCCTGTTCACATCATCAGATCTACGCGTTTTGAATATATATATACCTACGCTGTCGATCTGTGTACAACTAACTAAGCACGTATTGATATGAGGAGAGAATAGTCTTTATGGTGAGCTCTCCTCTTTTTTCGAAATTTCGCTCCATGGGTCATACTTTCTGGGAAATGGCTCTATGCTATGATCATTATAAAGGTTGATTCTATTCAATCATTAAGATAACCAAAACATGTCTTCATATTTGTTAGATACATTCAATGAATCGTGTTGTTATCAAGCATATAGAGCTTATATAGTGAGCTACTATGTTAAAGTGATTGAACTGTATGTAGAATCGTTAAGTTATCAATAAATTTACTTGCTTACATACTTACGCCTATTACATCTCGTGGGGCATACCCTATCTACCAGGGTTCTCCAACCAACTCTGCTCTGGGGTCTCTTCTCCAGTTATAGGCAACTGCGATTTACTCCTTTGAAATCTGCCCCCAATTCGCGGTGCATTATGTTCTTTTTGGTTTCCCCCTCTTTTCTACCGTGAAGATTCCAAGTTAGCGCTTGCTTTGTGACGCATTATGATGATTTGTTTGATGATGTTTGTCCTATAAACGTTTAGTGTATTTTTTGAATTCCCTTTTCAGTTGGAAGCTAGTTTTTTTCTTTGCCACAGGAGGTTATTACCGATGGTGTTTGATCAACGGATTTTGAGTATTAGCATTAGTTTCAACTCCGTACATATTTACATCCAGTTTAATTCGATAACACATCGATTAATTACAATGATTAATAATTGTGTTGGGGTGATCCAGAAAACTCACAAAAGACAAGAAAGGCTTAGGAAACACCAAGAGGCATTTTATCCAATCAGCATTTGGCCAGAAACATCAAGAAAGTGGAAAGTCACGTGTCGAGTTTCCGATTGGCTGATTTCTGTGCTGCTACTATGTTTAATAGCATTCCAGAATTTTCGGGAAACCCAAGGACATCTAAAATACTATAAAAACCCTATATTTTCTGTACTAAACGGAACCTCTGGAGTAAAGCGCTTCTCGCGTATTTTACGCTTTTTCTCTCATGTTCAGGTTTCTGTGTAGTTCTAGCTTGGGGTTTACGTGAATCGCTTAGGAACCGAATATAGCGTTCAATTAGCAAGACTTATCAAATTGAGCCAATGGAAGATCATGAAACTTAGTTAACTAATTTCATACTTCGTGAATCCATACAAATGAGTTAATATGCTAAAACTTAATGAACAAACTTCACTTGAAATCAGTTTATGAACTTGAAATAACGGTTGATTTTTTGGGGGGGGGGTTGGAAATTCAGCATTCGAAAAACAACCTTCTTATATTCGAGAAACTTGATATTGGACATTGTTGTCCTCTTAAAAACTGTTAAGTGAAACAATGGAGTTTCCTCTTCTTCTTTTTCTTCTAAATGCTAATCATTGAGATATATTTTACATATATATAATTTCCTTTTTAATGTTTTCCATAAACACTTAATGCTTAACTATTGTGAAATAATTATGTTTCAAATTGAAATGAATAATCTTATAAAAATTTTACAGTTTGTTTAAAACAAAAGAAAACTTCTATCACTTAAACACACTTTCATTACATAGTAATTGTTATTATTGTTCAATTTAGATCATTTCGTTGAAATACTATCACGATCTTAGTGGTTGCCCTCAAATACCCTGGTACGACCAAGAGTGGAGAGAGTCAGCTCTCCCTCTCGAAATGCTCCCAAGTGGCCATGTGCACACAACCACTACCAGGGAAGTCCTACTCACTGCCTTCTCGTGGCGGGGGTGTTGTTTACGAACTTGAGAGGACGAAAAACGAACATCCGACGCTTTAACCAGGTTGATGGTTACGGAGGATTCACCTAGGAGAATTGGAAAACCCTGATTCCGAACCAATGGTGGACATGGTCTCCAGGATCCTAAAGAAATAAATGGCGTATGAACCAATTATTGGTCATCGACCACTGTTGGACTGCATCTCTTTACCTTGCTCCATTGCCTTGTGGATTAGACCCTTAGGTAAAAGGCTCCAGGTGTGGCCTCCTAATGAAATCACCTGCTTCGGTTTAGTCACCCATGGGCAGTATCTCAGCCCTCACATAGACCGAATGATTTATGTAGCGCATATGTGTTTGGTGACTCCTTGTACCAATATTTAAACGAACTGTGGACGTTTTTGTTATTATAACACTCAACTATTTTTTTGCATTTTCTATATCCTATTGTAAATAATCTTTGTTGTTTAGTATTTATTTTGCTTTTGTTAATTGCTTATTCATTTAAAAATTATATTATAGGTTCATATTTCTGATAGATTTTTTTTGGGTGGACCTTTAGAACTTAGAGGATTTCAATGGCGTACTGTAAGTCCATCAGAGCCATTACTAGTACCAACTGTTCAAACGTTAGATAGTTATGAAACAACACTTAATAATAACAATCAACAATCATCATCAACACCTGTATCTACTAACTCACCATCATCACCTATTGGTGCTGATGCTTTCTGGTTAACTGGAGCTCATTTATACACTCCATTACCATATTGGGGTGCTGAAGAAGGTTCATTAGCTTCTCAATTACGTCTACATGGATTCTTTCTTGCCGGTAAATTAATTAAGATTGTTATTATTGAGAAATAGTTAAATGAATATCATATCACATAGTTTATTGAATGAAATGTTTAGTAATTTATTCTAGAAGTTATTTAATCTAATGAACCTAGTTTAGATTATTCAGTTATCCACAAGTAACTAAAGCGAACGGTAATAGTTTCGAGTCACGTTGTGAACATCAATTCTGGAGTGTGCATAGTCTTTCATTTAAACACAAACATTGGTACAAGAAGACAGCAATTTTGTAAACAGTACCCACACCGCGAGAACGTAGTAAGTAGGACTTCTTTGGCAGTTGCTGTATACGCGTGACCATGTGAGAGCATTTTGAAAAGGGGAAACGAACTCTCTATTCCCTCGACTATATCAGGGCATTTGGAGGCTGAAGCGTGCAGATACATTCAGTTTACAAGTGTGTTCCAAACTCAAATGCTGGCCAATATCTAACTTTGCTTATAAAATATCGAAACAATCAGCATAGGACCCAAACGCCGTGTTACGATCGACAGTAGAAACAGTCCTCTCTCTCGAAATGAATTCATATGGCCACAGTTTTATAGTCACTGCCAGAGGAGTCAGCAAAATCGGATTCCACACTGCTTATGTAAGTAGGCTCCAACATCCTGAGTGATCAAATGGCGTATGAGCCTATCTTCGATCATTAGTTACCGTCAGATTACATCTACTTACTTGTGGATTATAGGGCAAAGGCTAAGGTAGTGACATTCTCACCAGAACATTTCAGTTCAATTATTGATCCAAATGTATGTAGACATTCTCAACTTTTATTTAATAATGATCTCACTTTTAACATCTTGATTTCTGTGTACAGTTTAAACATTTGTTCACATTTATTGTGTTATTGATACATCTGTTATTTTGCAGATAGATATGACATATTTCTGTTATAACTTGTGACCTGAGTGCCCTGTTAATGTATAACGTAATGATACCACCAATCAGAGAGCAGTGAATTATCGATCGGACCAATGACGCATAAAACCCGTACGAGCAGTCTAGAGTCCTTATTGGTCCTGCTTCCCGCCTAGCCCAGTAAGTTAAGTCCAGAACATCAATCTCAACCTCTGCGATATGAATCATTTACTTCGAACATACTCGGTTTATATAACAATCCAACAGACCACATCGTACCATAAAATGGAAAATAACATTTGTATAATATTTGACCAAATGTGGCTGTGAATGTGGGAGGTAGGAATTAATAGACAGGGCATAACTCAAGAACGGTAAATTGTATAATACCAGTTCATCGGTGAAAATGAAGCTTATGATAAGAGGGATATGAATATGTATAGTTTAGTTATTTAACAATTATACGATAAAAATGTACTCATAGTATTGGTCCATAAATAGATCCTAAAAGTTACCATTCATTATGCTTATCGAGGCACAACACTTTCATATATATTCGTTTTAAAATAGTTTTAATTCATGTAAGATATAACTCAATGAAATAGTACAAATCCTTCTCTTCTCTCCGATATGTTTTATTTTCTATCTTAACTCTGTTGTTTCATTTGAATAAAATAGGCTCTACATTGGAAAGACCTATTCAAAAATTGATGGATTCACCTTCTACTTGTAAAACTGTTAATGAATTTAGTCAGTACTTTTTAAATGAATTAAAAGGTCGGCCTCGTACTGTAATTGGTATGGGTGTAGTATTTCGTTTTGCTGGAATTTTACGCATTGAATTAAATTATTGTTTCCCAATGACATATCAATCTGGTGATCAAGTAAAGCCTGGATTCGCTTTTGGATTTGGCATGTATTATATGTGATTCATTGGTAAATCTGTAGTTTTGCTGTTTGAATTTTCCACTGCAAAATTATTAGGTAATAATCTTGTGTGTGTGTGTGTGTACGAAACAAATAAATAGACGGAGATTGATCCCAATAGTAACTTGTTGTTATTATCAGATACTAATCGATACTAATCTAGATTTAATGTGGTTTCTTCTTTGTTGCATTTTTGTCTTACTTTAGATTAACTAAACTGATACTGTACACACGTTTCATGTATAAATGTATTAGTAAATAAATACATATTTCAGTACATTCGCCTTCTATCTGTGTAACAGTTTGGTACATTTATACTCATTGTTATCAGAAATCCATACTTTTCAATGGATGTAAAAAGCAAAACGAAAATAGTTCTCGTTATGTCTACAACTAACCAATATACGTAGACGAACTTAAGTAATCAATAATCAGCAAGGACCAAGAAAACTGATAATTTATGCTTATAGGTTAACCCTCATACTAACTAGCTCTGAATGCAATAGTAATGTTCACCTGTCCAAGATCGCTATTATATTTCAGACATTCATTTATATACACACAAGACCAGATCACCACCCAATATCAGTATTAACACGTTACAACAACATTTATGATGGGAAAGTGGAATACTGGGTATACAATTAATCGGTTGTAGTTTAAGAGTCGAAAATAACATAGCAACAAATTATGACTCAAATAAAAGCTTAAAACTGGGGTATTAAGAAAATAATAATACCAAAAATACTCAATAAACATGCAATCAATATGTATTTAAATGAAACCAGAGAAAATAACTTTGATGTCTTACTACTTAATGCTAATAGCTTTATGAGAGTAAGTAGTAAGGCAGAATTTATTAAAATCTCTATCAAAACTGGATTACGTACTCTTTAACTCTCTCGAAAATCATATTCTGTTGAGTTTGCTGACTACAACTGCCTTAATATACATAAAATGACAGATTAATAAGGGGGAGTAATCCCTCACTTTCACCTCCCTTCTTCGTAAATGGCTTTCACACTATTTGATTCATATTGATACAAGTACCTAGTGTATTTGTATGCTATGATTGAAGGTGTCAGTGATTCTCGTGAGATTATTTGATGAGTAGTTAGTGGGTGGTTGGTTGGTTTGGCTCCTGTCAGTCACAGCGTAGAACCTGTACTTATCTGCATCGTTGTTTAACGCCGATTAGTTCAAGGCGAAGTCTCTCACCCTTACCTACCCGATAGCTGAAATACAACAAGTAGATAATTTTTACTGTACAGTTCAGCTTACAACTCAAACGTATGTGTTAATAAATGTTAATTTCTTCTCCGCACTTCAGTACAAATAAGAAATTACGATTTAGGGATAACTATGTCATAAACAAAAGGAAAATTAAGTAATAGGTTTACAATTAATTACTCATAACTTAAGAATCATAAAACACAACAATATTTAATGCATCAAGAAACATTTAGAAGCAGTAGAGTACAATGATTTGATTGTTTCACAAAATTTAGCCAATGATTTTCAATAGAAAAACCTCAGTCTATCACCTTTATTCAATATTTACCCAGTTACTGTAGATATTTCTGTGTAAATTAAAATTGAATAGTAACATTATATAATTTTTCAGGTAGAATAATTATTACATTATCAGAAGGGGTTTGTGGAGATTTTAGAAATTTCACATTGAAATGATGAGTCAGTTGAAGCTAGACCACCATGGAGAACCTGGAAGCACTGGACGGCCGTTTCTTCCTAGTATGGGACTCCTCAACAGTGCGCATCCACGATCACGCAACCCGCGGGATTCGAACCCAGGACCTACTGGCTTTGCGCGCGAACACTTAACCATTAGACCGCTATAGATGCGCACTGCTGAGGAGTCCTATACTAGGACGAAACGGCCGTCAAGTGCTTCCAGGTTTTTCATGGTGGTCTAGCTTCAATTGACTCATGATTTCAATCTGTGAAATTATTACATTTACAAAAATGTACAGTACATTTTAAAATGAAACATCAAATTAGTATTTTAACATGTGTACTGTTTATCTAAAAATAGTTATTAAAGCAATAACTGAAGATAAAACCATTTTTATAAATGTCGATCACAGTATCTAGTTCTGTTTTGAAACAATCTTATGTAGTTATGAAAAACATCAAATCATTAATCACATTTATGAGTGATCTATATTTATTTATTTAAACACATAAACATTGGTACAAGGAGACATCAAGCAAATATCCGCCACATAAATCTCATTTGATTTATATGAGGGCTGAGATACTGCCCGGGTGACCAAACCGAAGTAGGGGGATTGTTCTATACATAGAATATATAATATAAAGTAGTATATTTGTATTTTGTACATAGTGAAATTGCTATAAACTTAAAGGGGTTATACAATTCATTATTTTAAAGAAGTATTAAATCAAGAAAATGTTTAATGTTCTTATTTAGATTAAGTTGTGTATATTGACATTGTAATCGTTGAAATTCTATCATTTCTAAAATATCCTTTGATGGTATAGGTATATTCGAGTCCTTCCTGAAATCATTAAATAGGAATTGGTAACTTCATAAAATTAAAAGTAGTTAAGATTACTTGAAACAAATCTAATGCTTAATGTAATGAAATCAAGGAATAATGTCGAACATAGGCAATCAGTTAAATACAAATTCCTCTTCGCTTCTCACTTTTATTCATAGAAAACATTGAATGAATATAACAATGGTAACTTCCCTTTAGGGATCTATTATTCTGACTACATTGAGCGATCAACTAGAATAGACAATATATAGTTAGAAAATTACTATAGAATAATAGCTTTGATATGAATAATAAACCCCGACCATTGTTGCTACCTTGACTTGGTGGTTGGGCTTGCCTATCGTGATAAAGCAACCGAGCTATACTGGCTGGAACAACCGTTCCTCAAGGTCCTACCATGTCAGACAGGCCGGTTGAAGAGCGGTTAGACTAAAAGCAACAAACCCAAGGTCCGATGGCGAAGTCGTACTGCTGACTGTACAGAGGTGTGACAGCATTAAGGTGTTTCCTTCAGACAAACAGTATGACAGCGATACTGCCTTCCCACAAGGAGGGGTGCGGTTAGAAAAGGTTGACCCTAAAAATGCACACCTCGCCTTGTTCCACGGATATCCGTCACCGGCGGTAAGGTCTCAACAAGTACGGAGCTGACACAAAAATCACCCATAAGAAGGTCATGTGTGACCGACCTCAAGCAGTTGTCCCTTGGGCACTGCGGTCACGCTCTTAGGTCACTAAGATCACCTCTAATCCAGTTTTCTTTTCAGGTACCTCCAGAAAGACCCTTCCACGGTGTGGGCGACAGGGAAGTGATAACCGCCCCCATACCTCTAACAGCACTCAAGACCACTGTATTCATAATCAACCTCCGTCTTCACTTCCTATTATCCCTCCTACATCGACTTTCATCTCTAAACTTCCTTTTTCGGCTTCTCCCTCAAGTGTCACCATAGCCAACGATTCTAGTGCTCAAAACACTGTCCCAGGTCTACTGAAACCTCGCTCCAAACTACACATTGGAGCTTTAGACGTACGCACTCAAATTGGTCAACAGGCTTCCTTGGTTAGGACCCTAGAATCTCGTACCATTGATGTATGCTGTGTCTCTGAAACACGCATACAGGTTTCCAGTTTGGTCATTCACTTGACCTCACCTCGGCAAAACGGAGAGCCAACGAGATACACCCTCCGTGTATCTGGTGACCCGACGGCCAGCTCTCGTGGACTGACATGAGTAGGGGTAGCATTAAACATGAGGGCGGAACAAACACTGTTAGAGTGGATCCCCCCGAATTATTCATTATAGTGAGAAAAAATTGGTTGAGAGTTTTGACTAGTGTTGATAGTTAAAGTTAAATTTTGTAGAGTTTTCACTACTAATCAACATCAGCTAAAATGTAACAATGCTCTATCATTCTTTTGTTTATAAACTTATGAGAGTTAAGGATGAGATTTAAAGTAGAAGTATATTGTCTAACTATATATTAATATTGTTGAATGTGCATTATGTCACATCAAATCTAACATATAATCTAGATAAGGAGCAGGTATTTCAGTGAGAACCAATCACGTTTAAGAAAACAGGTCTCAGATTTTCGCTCTAAATTCACTCATCCATTTGGATAAATAAAGTTTTGATGTTATAGCTGATTTCAGGTCGTGATAAAAAAAAACCAAAATTGAATTCCTAAGCTTAATCATCAATTGTAAATAATAATTCTAATTTCTCACACAGGTTCATAAACCCCATTTGGTCTTGTTTATTAAGTGAACACACTGAAGGCAAGTCTGGTGTCGCTCAAAGGTCGTTCATAAATTATAGTATCACTCATAACCTTAATTGGAAACAATGTTATGGCTACTTAAATCTATTTAAGCTTTTATAAAGTTTTAGGATGATAATTAGTTTATATCCATATTTATTAATTCAAAAGTAGATTTCTTTTTTCAATTTAAAGAAGTAATAACCTGTAGTAGTAGACTTCAATAAATACTGTTCACCATTGGTAATATTACTAGTTATTTATTCTTCTCGACTTAGATCTAGTCATTTTGTTATTACTTTTTTCTGCCACTACTGTAGTGAACGGGAACACCAGTTGGGACAATCAAATGTTTACTATTGATTGGTCACTGCGTAGTAATCAATGTCATGTATGTCAGGTCCTTCTTTGTATAGATCTAATCCTATCGACCAATTTGCAATGTGACCACTAGTCTAGATAACTTGACATTGCCTGCGTTATGTTGAGATATGATGGTCCTTTTGACTATCTCCAAACACCATCTTAAAACTAAATATGCTTGAACACAAAATTACAAAATCTATTAGTAAAATCTGCGAACCATACAGTGAATACTTCATTTACAATGTGTCAATCGATTGTCTCAGACTTGATTGTTTCTTAGTTTCTACACCAACGATTCTCTGTTCTCGTCCTCTTTTCTTCGATCTTCTTAACCTTCTGCCACCAGACATTTCATTTTCGATTGGTGATACATACTACTTAGATCTGTTGACATCAGTAGCACACATCACACTACAAGTACAGTTTTACGTACAACTGAAGACTTATACAAACGTGATTCAACATACATAATAAGCATCCTAAAATCTCCTTGAATCTCATAGAAAATATATCTGCTGAAGCCTTAATCCCTATCAAGTATTCACTTATAAGTATAGACAACCAGTTATTACGTAACAAACAATGTAGTCAAAATACTTGATAATCACCTTTGTTTATTGCAACTGATTATGGTATTACTATGTTGAAATATCACTTGCTGTTTCGTCATATATTTGTCGACGTCATGAAGGCGCGTCAAATTGATTTATCAATATAATTGGCATGGCTAATTAGACATCGTTTTAAGGTAACATGATAATCGAGGGATATTGACAGGTATACGGTATGTATCAAGATTTTGCTTAATTATTCAAAGACAGATAAATACTATCAACTCAGTTTTTTGAGTGAAACATATCTAGATTAACGGATATGTTTATGCATATATCTAGATTATGGATTAGTCGATTAAAGCTTTCAATTCACTTTTCATTTTATTATTGATGTAGACGGCTGATATCATATATAGGAAATGTGTATATTAATAATAGACCCAATCGGCAACTCTGCATAACAAAACATTGAAATCAAAGTTGTTTTAGTGTATGTCATTTAGTCAGTCAGTCAACAACAACGTAGAACTTCGTACGTACGTACGTCATTTCATGTTGCCATACCACATTAGCACAGAGATACAATAGTGGTAGTAAAAGTATAAGCAGTAATCTGAAAGAGCAGGGTTTGAAGATGTTATTCAAGGAGCATAATCCAGTGAAGTAAATTTGAAAAGAGCAAAAGAAAAGGGACATAAACAATACAGAAGATTAGAACTTTGGAGAACACAAAGAGTGGATGCACCTGCGCCATTGCAAACGATTTTGAGCCATGTCATTTAAGGTCTCTAACCATCGGTTACTATCATCTCGTGGTCCCCAACCAGGTAATCTACACCTACCAATATGACTCAGTCTGCTTGTCAGTGACTTCATGCACTTGTGCCATGTTTTGGTCTGGCCGCCTCTAGCTTTCTTCCAATCTACTCCTATACAACAAAACATCGCACATCGAGGCAGTTGGTGGTTGGGCATACGTAACACGTGTCCCAGCCATCTCAACTGATGAAGCTTCACTACTTCATCAATTGATTTGCCATCCTTACCCAGTACCCGTTTCCTAACAACTGCATCACTTACTCGATGGTTCCATGGTATACAAGCAATGCTTCGAAGACATCTATGATCGAATACCCGTAACCTACGAATATCCTCTACTCTTACCGGCCATGTTTCATTGCCATAAAGTAGGACGGAACGAACTGCTGCACAGTAAATCCGTCCTTTGGTTGGTAGACGGATATCTGTTAAAATAGAATACATTCCAGAAAAAACATGAATAAATTCATGTCATTCAACATAATTTTTAGCTAATTCTTTCAACAAAAATAAGACTGAAACAATATGAATAGTAAATAATGAATAACTTAAATACATTATTAGTAAGTATAAAGTATGTCATAACCAAACTATTGGTATGTCAATTGGTAGTTTATTAGTAAGTCTGTTCAACGTTCAATTTCTAATCTCGTTTCATCTATTTCGGTTTGAACAGTTGTATATTATCACTAACTGTCACATACATAATGTAGCATAAAAATGAATATATGACTTTCTATCTAATAAGTGAGTTTCCTCTTCACCATCATCATCATCATCATCAAGTTACGTTTAGTTTGTATATTATTATACAATCGTGAAAAGTACATACTAAAATGAACTTACATAATTTTATAGAATATAAGACGTTCTGCAACAATACATATACAACAGAATGTTTCAAAATCAATATATTGATAATCTATAACTTGTAATCCAATTAGATTAAATACTAATGTATAACAACTAATTGGAATTTGTACTGGTACAATATCTTCAAATGCATTATTTAATTTCTAATAATAAAATATACAAAAAAAAGAGATAATTTCTATCAAGAATTAAGTAATTGAAATGATTTCACAATGAACTTCAATCTACTGTACGCATAGCTTCAGTGACTTCATCCAGTTGGTTACTGCTTCAGCCGTTTGAAGGACTTTAAATCTGACAAGTTTTGGCGAAACTAAATTACTGACCCGATAAATAATTGGAAAAGATTGGTTTATACTGGCACTATGACTAGTTTGTACTAAATGGGCCAATATCAAGTTGTAAACTTTCTTCACCAAACCTTTGTTTAGCCACGCTGGAAGGTGTATGGCGACTCACGTGCAATTGAGTTTAGTTCAGTCAAGTTCTTTTGTTGACCTATTTAATGGACAAAATCATCCATGCTATGACTTGTTGTACTGTTATTATTATTGTGCTTGTATGAAATACATATGCTTGAAAATTGTTTAGCGCCTACGCATGTATTCATTCTGCTAGCTACATTTCTAACTGCCTAATCTATTCGCTGACTCATCCATTTTCCTATACATATATATTTGTGTACATTTGCACCCATTCATTACAACTACTCGCTACAGCTACAGCTATAATCGTAGTTCGCTTGCTCATCCATTTTGCCTCTGCTGTCTGGTCCGAATTATCTGCTAAATAAACTGTAGTAGCTGCTTCTTTTTGCCTTCTGATTTCAAACATCGTTGAAGGTTATACGATAACGGTTCGAGGGTGATTAGTTATCGAAGCACAGCCACTACAGGTGTTATATAATCTCTAATCCAGGTCGTATTATCATGATATAATCATAGTGAACCTTGTTTCATTTAACAATTTTTTTTTCATTGTTACATGATTTATCTCGAACTCAGCAAGTGATTCATTTTATAACTCTGTTATGGTTTCATCAGAAAAATATTTAACGTTTTAAAATCTTATTTGACATATCAATACAGATTAAGTTAGAATTGACTCTGAATGATGAAGTGATGTGCTTGTAGAATTTCACACTAAGTTTGCTTGAAACATGCTAAATACATGGCGTTTTCATTATGAATTGATTTTATATAAACAACTATTGAACACAAAATAATCATCATAATTTCTCAGTACTAAGCATGTTGTAAACAATCAAGGGAGACCATTAAGATGTATTTGAGTTATTTTATACTTTTTATTATTATTTTATTTCAACACATAAATATTGGTACAAGGAGGCACCAAATAGATATGCACCACATAAATCATTCAGTTTATGTGAGGGCTAAGATACTCCTCGAGTACCCAAACAGAAGCAGCTGGTTTTCTTAGGGGGCCACACACCAAGCCTTTTATCTAATAGTCTGATTTACAAGGCAGTGGAGCAACGTTAGGAGCTGCAGTCCAATGTTAGTCGGCCATCAACAATTAGTCCATACGCCATTTGTTCCTTAAGGATACTGGAGTCCATTTGCACCATCGGTTTGGAATCAGGGTTGTCCAAATTCCTTAGGTGGACTCTCCGTGCTAGCAACCTGGCTAAAGCGCCGGACATTGGCTTTTTATCCTGTCAATTTTGTAAACAACACCCCCGCCACGAGAAGGCAGTGAGTAGGACTTCCCTTGGAGTGGTTGTATGCACGAGGCCATGAGAGAGCATTTTGGGAGGGAGAGTTGATTCTCCCCACTCTCGGCCGTAGCAGAGCATATGGAGGCCCTAAGAAACATTGATTACGTTGAGACTATAATTTATGAATTACTTTTATGCGACGCTTAAGTGACCTAGAGAATGTTCACCTACTTGCTATTTTTAACTGAGTGTACTAAAATCCGAAACCTGCTACTTACTTACTTACTTACGCCTGTTACACCTCGTGAAGGAGCATAGGCCGCTCACCAGCATTCTCCATCCAACCCTGTCCTGGGCAATCCTTTCCAGCTCCTTCCAGTTGTAATTCATCCTTTTCATATCTGCTTCTATTATCCGACGTAATGTGTTCTTTGGCCTTCCTCTTTTCCGCTTCCCTTCAGGATTCCAAGTTAGGGCTTGTCTCGTGATACAGTTTGACGATTTGCGTAATGTATGTCCTATCCATTTCCATCGTCTTCTCCTAATTTCCTCTTCAGCTGGAAGTTGGTTTGTTCTCTCCCACAGAAGGCTATTGCTGATGGTATCCGGCCAATGGATGTTGAGTATCTTGCGTAGACAGCTATTTATAAATACTTGTACTTTCTTGATTGTGGTTGTTGTAGTTCTCCAAGTTTCAGCTCCATACAGTAGAACTGCCTTGACGTTCGTATTGAAGATTCTAACTTTGATATTGGTTGAAAGTTGTTTTGAATTCCATATGTTCTTCAATTGTAGGAATGCGGCCCTTGCTTTGCCAATCCTCGCCTTTACGTCTGCATCTGAACCTCCTTGCCGAAACCTGCTACCTTAAATCTAATTGGTTTATCCATAAATTATAGTCTTACTCAAAATATAAAGGGAAAAACTAATTTCATAAGTAATTGACAAATCATTATTACAAACAACTAGTGCTTACATCAATAGAAAGTTTAGAGCCTTGACACCAGTGATTATATATACGTCGATATAAATCATACTTTCTAGATGAAAGATGTGAAAATTGTCGTAGGTAATCTATAACGGACATATCTAAATGAAAAGTAATAAAACTTTTTTGATAAAATAGTGTAAAAACAGAATAATACAGAACTTAGTAATGTAGTTGATCATTTCAGTATGTAACAGTTTACAAAAAATATGTAATAAGTAAAAATCCGGAGTATTTTAGTGATTGGTCTACACACAAAAAATATGAGGTGCTGAGATTTATAAGACTTCGAAGAGCAGAAGAATTAACAATTTAAGTGTTCGCGCGCGAGACTTAAGGCCCTGTGTTCGAATCCCGCGAGCGGGATCGTGGATGAGCACTGTTGAGTAGTCCCACAAAAGGACAAAACGACAGCCTAGTGTTTCCGGGTTTTCAGTGTTGGTCTAACATCAATCGGTTCATGATCTCAATCAAAAACTTAACAATCTCCACAACCCCTAAACTGTTAATTAACAATTTAATTGTGATTTTAAAAGTTCAGTCATGAACCCTCATATCTGTAAGCTGGTTGATGTATGTTCAGATCTACTTATATTTAAAATGAATCCGGAATAAAGTGTTATTGTGAATATAGAGTGGTGAAAGGCTAGTTTTAAATTGGATATGTAATATGTGGTTTACATTATGTCGTGTTGATGTTATTTTACTTTTGAAATTTACACTATTCAAACTACTAACTACTATTAAGTAGTATAATCGTTACTTACTTGAGTGGATAACGCGACGGCGTTTGAAACGAATGGTACTGGGCTCGAGTCGCAGAGTGAACATCAACTCGGAGATGCATCTACATCCAGCTGACGAGTCACAATTAGGACAAAACGTGCGTCAATCTGGATCCCACTGCTAGCCACTATCCATCTTTGCTAATAAAACTTGTGAATTAAGTCAATATCGAGGCAATACGCACAGTATACACATATACCAATAACAGATTGATCAATTGCAGTCTTAAGCCTCAATAGGGAGATTCAAGCAAAACAACACCAAGTGAACATAGAAATGTATACTATAAACAAGTTAGCAAGCACTGAATAGTTGGTAACTAGATTCCTGTGGCTGAAAAATATTGACCGTTATACTTTAATCAATTGGTAATCAATTGACAAGTAGCTTGGTAATGTAAATATAATACAATAAAGTGTCAAGATAGGATAATGTTTAAGATTAATATATTGTAGAGAAGATTTGTAGCTGAAGTTTGTGATGATGATGTCGTCAAGAAGAACGATGAAAGCTCCACGATCAAACCACCCAATTCAGAGAACAAAACTTCATCAAAATTAAGGTTCATAAATTAAATGATTTTTTATTGTGATTAATACGTAAATCTTATTAATTTAACGTCTATCAGTTCAATAATTAGAAATTACCTTCATAAATATATCATATTATGTCTGTGTAGGTTTAATCTTAGAGTTCCGAAGATTTGGAAAATAATGAGAATGAATAATGTCATAGTAAGACCCTAAATGTCTCAATTTGCACTATGTAAAACCTGTCTTTAAATCTGTTTTAGGAAGGTAGATCATAACATTACAAAGATTTAGTTACTGTTGAGTTCTATTGATATCACGAAGCGATCTAAATTAGACAGACTTTGAAAACCTGTAACGAGAAAGTACATTGGTCTACGTAATATAATACACAAACACTCATTGATATAAGTGCACCTCTACCACTATAGAAAATCAATCAATTTCTTAACCAATGATATGCACTTGTCCTTCAGCTCACTTTTAATTGCCATCAATTGAACTTATCATTTGGATAATTCTCATTGGTCCACCAAATCAGAAACTCGTAGCATTTTTGTTCTAGTATGGTACTATTCAGAATTACGTACTCAAAAGCTCCTAATGAGCCATCGTCTTTCAACTACTATTTTGTAAAACATGTTTTACAAACTAAACTTCCGTCAATTTACAATTCCGTCTGACCATCTTCCAGTAACACCAGTGACATCTATCGCACATCAGACATAACTGAACTCTATGGATCTGAGTTACACTTTTGAACTCCCGGAATAATCCCTTAAAGTTAACCACTAGTGAAAACAAACAACAGCAGAGTAGTCGCTGAAGTTGATAAACATTATTGATAATAAAACTGGTTTTCAATGTCTCATGAATCAGTAAAGCATTCCAACTTATAACTCCATTTCAATGTTTCTATCAATGAATAGATCTTTAGTTTAATAGTTGTGTAAGACTAATCTACTCGACTGACTTCAGTTGAAACATTATTGTAGTAAAAATTCCTTTTCAAGTTCAATCATTATAACATAAAATGTTTCATAGCTCAAAACAGTCTGATCAATAACATAGATATCAAGTTATGTTTGAACAACACTTATCAATTACACGTACATTCCACTGGTCCGTTATGAAAAAAATATTTTTTGTTGTGAATAAGTGACTTAAGTACCCAAATACTTCATTTATTACTTTGGAAAACTGTTAGCTTACTCTCAAGTATTCGTAAATCTGATGGCAGACTAAACCAAAAACTATCTTGATAATTTGTAGTATCATGAAAATCATAGTAAACTTCTTTTCTTGGATAAATCTATAAAGTTCAAGTAGAAAATGATGGAATAAATTTTCACTATTCTTTCATTATAACAACTTTCGATCTACAGTTATTCAAATAAAGTTGATAGATTGCGTTTAGTATCGGGATTCAGAACATGATTATTGTACTATTTAACAGTTCTTTGCTCATTGTAACGGCATATTTGTTGATGCTGAAACCTGAGACTTAGACCTAATACCTTTCTGTTAGGTCTCGATAAGCATAATGAATGGTAACTTTTGGGATCTATTTATGGACCAATACTATGAGTATATTTTTATCGTATAATTGTTAAGTAATCAAACTATACATATTCATGTCCCTCTCATCATAAGCTTCATTTTCACCGATGAACTGGTATTATACAATTTACCGTTCTTGAGTTATGCTCTGTATATTAATTACTACCTCCCACATTCACAGCCACATTTGGTCAAATATTATACAAATGTTATTTTCCATTTTATGGTACGATATGGTCTGTCTGGTTGGTATATAAACCGAGTATATTCGAAGTAAGTGATTCATATCGCAGAAGCCGAGATTGGTGTTCTGGACCTAACTGGCTGGGCTAGGCGGGAAGCAGGACCAATAAGGACTCTAGACTGCTCGTACGGGTTTTATGCGTCATTGGTCCGATCGATAATTCACTGCTCTCTGATTGGTGGTATCACTACGTTATACAATAACAGAGTAATCAGACCACAAGTTATAAAACTTTTTTACAGATGCCTATTGCGTAATCCACCTATCCATCGAGACCCGTAATCGAGATCAACATTGAGATGAACATGAATTTAGCTGATGAGTCCCAAATACGTCGAAACCCAAGTCTTGACTTCCAATGCTAGCCACAATTTATCTACTCTATATAATGTGTTAGAAAACCGTTGTCTCAATGTAATCCGACCAGGATTTACATATACTCACGAAGACTCATTTAACTACATCTATGCTTATCAACAAATGGATACTTCAAACCCTTTTTAATTAAAGCAAAACAAGACTTTCTATTTTTTTAAAACTATAAATAGCATGATTATGTATTATCGTAAAAATTATCTACCAAGACAAAACATTTCTACGTTAGATGATAGATCAATAAACGTTGAATAATTTACTGAATATCTGAGCAGGGAATTAGGAAAGGAAGTTGGATATCGATAGTACATATATTATGGAAATCACTAAACCGCATCATTAGGCAAGACCTAAACAGAAATGCTGAAGGAGGAAGGAAAAGGGAAAGACCATTGAACATATTGCGTTGAAAACTGGAAGCAGACATCAAAGAAATGGCTAACAAGTGGAACGTAATTCTCAGGACCGAATTGAATGAATAATGCTGGTGGGTGGCCTATGTTTCTTCACGAGGTGTAACAAGCGTTAGTAAGTAAAGATAGAAAAGCAAAGTAAATTAGAATCAATAAATAAGCTAATCATGAATTCATATATCTACCTTTTCATGTTTCTTGACAATTTGTGTATAGTGAATATAAGATTGTTTATATCAACCAAATAAGAAGTTGAAATATTTGTATTGAATCCAACTTGTATGCTATTATTAAAAATGATAGAATCCAGTATGTCTATTTAAGTGATGATTATTGGAGTTGATTAAATGTAACTATTATTAAAAATAGATTTTTTCTCTTTGTACATAACCATTTTGATGTAAAATTAGTCAGTAAATAGTTGTCTAGTTGCATTGATCAGGTAGCGTGTTATTACTTAGGTTATTAGCTATGATATTCATTGTAAACCTCTGTAACTAGACCAACCATTGAGTCTGTGTTACAAAGTGCTATACACTTGTTAGATACAATTTACACATTTTGACTTAGCCACGAATTCAAGTACCTAACCCTCTACCTTTATTCTAATCAAAGATCAGTTTATTTAATCTAGAACCATAATGATGAAAATATACAATATATCACTTACTATAAATGAGGAGTTATCTGTTAACGTAGGATCTGAAAGAAAATCTTCCATTTCTAGACGTTGATATTTTATTCTCTCACCATTTATTGAGTATAAATGGATCGACTTGTTAAAAGTTACTTATCGATCGAAGTAATTAAATTTAAGGTCATGGTTATTGATGAAACTACTCAGATATTATAGTTGTAAAACTCGTGACTTTTCTTATCAACCAATAGGTTCCCAGATTGAAAAAAAGCATAACGAACTCAATAAGGACGTTCCACGAAAATATGGTAACTAGATATGTTTGATCTTTCTGTTACTGTAGGTGGTTGGAGACGATCTGCAGTATCGTATTAACCTAAATCGCTTAGATCAGCAAGGATTATCTGTAATCTCCAGGAGTTCGAATCAATGTCACAGCCAAAGACCTTAACAATATTAATAGAGAACTCTACAAGAGATTTAGATTTATGAATATACCTTCAATAATAATTTTCTAAGTCTTTGAACGTGGCAATATCGAAGTAATCCGAAATTTCCAGTAAATGTAGTCAGGATTGGCGATTGGGTATCGAAGATACTATTCAAATACGATAAACTAGTGAAATAACAACATTATGAGGAACGTAGGAACTCAGGATCTAACGGAAGATAGATAATGGATGCACCAGAGCCATTGCAGACAATTCTGAGCCGCGTAATTCAAAGTTTCTAATTATCCGTTATTTTAATCTCGTAGATTTCACCAGGTAACTCACACTTTTAATCATTATTCAGTCCGATAGCCAATGACTTCAAAGACTGATAGCATTTCTTGGTTTAGAGGCCGCTAACTTTCTCCCAACCTACACCTACTCAAGACATCACCTGTCGAGGTAGGCGATGATAAGGCATACGTAACTGATGTCCGAACCCTCTCAGTTGATGGAGATATACTGTTTCATCAAGCGATTTGCCACCTTTGCCAAGAACCCTATGCCTAAACTTTAGCATTATCTACTAAGCAATTCCAAAATGTTCGAGGAATGCTTAGAAGAAAACTGTAACCAGACACTAGTAAATTACGAATATCCACTATTCATAATGGCCACGTTTTACACCCATGAAGTAGAACAGAGAGAACTGCTGCACAGTTTCTTGTCCTTTGGTTGACAGACAAATGTCTTGCATACACCACAAAGGACAAAAGTTGAAAAGCTAATTGAGCTTTCTGAATCTGTGCCGACATTTTGCCAGACGCCCGACCATCATGACCGGTTAAACTTCCAAAATAAGTTAGACAACCGATACGCCCAACTACATTAAGTAACTAAGTATGCCAGTCTTGAAGTAACATTGTGAATTTGGAGGAAAAAATTAGCATCAAGAATATCCCTGCATTGTTGATTATGGTCATCAGATGACTGCATTTTCTCAGCTTCATCGTCAAACATAACTACATCATCTGCGTATTCCAAGCCAACAAGTGAATCTTCTGAAAATTCAGACGATGTCTATGATAAAGTTAAATAACACTGGAAAACTGACAACCCTGACGAACACCATTTGAAGTTACCAATTTCAATGACAGTTTGCCATAAACTCTGACTCGACCAGCAGTTTTGAAGCAGCTAGCCTTCGTATGATTGATGTTTTTCTATGGTACTCATCTCAATGACAGTCATTATCGTAATACCTCACGAGTAACAAAACTGAATGCTACCTTAAAGTCAAGAAATACAATTAGAGTCGAACGTCGTAATACGTACAATACTAACTGACTCATAACCATTTTATCTTAGTGTTGATTTTACATTCAACTAACGAACCAAAATCTTGGGTGCAGATTCACGATAAAAGGGTTGCTTGAAAAGAAATATTACATGTTCATCTTATTATTCACTAGTAAGTGCATCTATAGGAAAAAATAGTGATTTTTTGTTAGAGTAAACGCACTTTGAACATGTATAATTCACATCTTAAAATTTGAACGTGAATATTTTAAATTTTGAAAATGATCGTGTTCGATATTGGCTTAGATAAGTTTTAAAAGACTACTGAGCACTTTAATTGTATCCGTGTAATATTCGCAATAGTATAGTGCCTTATATGAACACACAAACACTATTACGAGAGAGGACCAAATACATGTGCGCCACATACTAACAGTGAGGTAGTGAAGAGATAGAGGAGTGAGTATAACAAAAGGACCAACAATAAACAAAAATTAGTGTATGAGCTTGAAATGATAATAATAATAATAATAATAATAATAATAATAATAATAATAATAATAATAATGAGAGTTCAGTTATGAAAAATACGACCCGAAAGAATTCTTTCGATTAAAAATTACGTTCAATTATATAAAAAAAGTTACAGAAGGATAGCCATTGGTTTCTATTCTGAGCCATTTCCAATAAAGTCTCAGGCTATTGTGTTGCTATATTTCTAGGACCTCAACCAGTAAGTCGTGAAGGTCCAACAAAAGTCAGTTTTGAACAGCTTTCTTTCATACCACGACATCATGTCGTGCACTGACCACCACTTCGCTTCTTTTAAACAGTCCGAGAGTCGGCAAATAATACACTATGTGCAACCCGCTGGGACGGTATTCGTAGGACATGTCCAAGTCACCAAAGTCGACATTTCAAGATGGTGACACCAATTGAATTATCTATGCTGTGACAGAATACAAGTAACTGAACTTCTGCATTACCAACATGATGTTACCACTGGATGTCAGCAGTCCGTAAGAGACAACAATAATCAAACACTTGGCACTCCCAACTCAAAGAGGCCAGGCTTCACAAGTACAAAGTACAAGTGCTCTCATCGTCGCGTTTTCGATCCGACCTTTAATAGCCAGACTAACAACACGAAGGTACCAAGAATGGACCATATTAGTATAGATCACTATGGCTTTTACTATACATAAACTGATCTCATCACTGGCAGCTACCTGAATACAAGAACTTCTCAAATGCTTCTATCTCCTCACTATCAAGAGTGAGTGTACGTCAAAGGTCCTACCGATCTTGTAAAAGTACTTTGCACTTCGAAGGTGCAAAGAACAAAAGGACACAACATGCAGACAATAAAAATCAATGTCGAGACATTCTGAAGACATAGCTAGCCCTATCTGTTATCCGATCTGCATTGGTGTGCAAAGGTTGAAGGAAGCCAGTTCGAATGGTATACGTGGTTTCAGAAAGACTGTTTCAGTATTCGTATTAAGTGGCAGCATTCAACCTCCAATCAGTTAGTGACATGAAGTCGTTTAGACACGACAGGATTTCCACCATAGGCGAGCTGCTGAATAAGTTCAAAAATAAAATATACACAAAATGAGAATAGAAGGGAATAGACAAGTAATGTAGTATTAATATATAAAAATGAGTGTTGACAAATGATTGTGAATGTGATTTGTCAGATTGAGAATTGAGGCGAGAATACATTTTTTCAGTTACAATCATCATTTGATTTGTGTGTGCGCCGGTTGCCCAAACCAAAGCAGATGGTTTTCTTGGGGGTCAACTCTAAGAGCCTTTGACCTAGAGGCCTGATCTAAGGAGGCACCAAATACACAGTGGGGCCAGTAGCAGTTACCATTGATTTGTATGAAGACTGTGACACCACCCGGGTGTCCAGATCGAAGCAGGTGGCTTCCTTAAAGGGCCACATCCCGAGCCTTTGAGCTGCAGGTTTAATCCACAAGGCAGTGAAGCAACTTTAGGAGATGTGGTCTTACGGAAGCTGGTGACCAATAACTGGTTCATACTCCATTAGTTTCTTCAGGACCATTGAGTTCGTGTGTACCATTGGCTTTGAATTAGAGGTATACCACTTCTTTACGTGGACCCTCCATGTCCACCAACCCGGTTCATGCGCCAAACATTAGCTTTTCGTCTCATTAATTTCGTAAAAACACCCTCATTGCGAGAAGGCAGTGGCTGTATTCTTATGACCATGTGAGAGCATTTCGAGAGGAAGCAAACTGTCAACATCCTTGGCCGTACTATGACATTTGAAGGCCAATCTTGTTCTACTACCAGTAGTGCTGTTACTACTTCTATTACACAGGAATACGTCTTGATAATTTCATCTCACACATATACTACATGTTCCACGCTACTTGAGATTGACAACACAACTAATCTATATCCCCCATCAGCTATGCAGGAACAACATTTCAAAGCCGTTTTATTGTTCACATTTGGTATATTCACTCTCAAACTAGTTACTGAAGATTCAGGTGTAAACCGTAATTGCTAATTCAAGATAGAACAATTATACGTGATCAGTTCGACCATCTAATTTTTTATTCACATACAGTACAACTCAGCAAATACATGAATAGAAAAAACAGGAGGTTCGAACACTGAACCTAGATATCGACTTAAATAAGCAGAACTTCATGAAAGGGCAGATGTAATCAAAAAGTTAAATGTTGACCTACTGAAATTAATGAGACCCTATTATTGAATAGTTCGTTTGCATAATAAAAGGTGTATGAGAGTAATAAACTCCCAACCATAGTCTTAAACGTAATTAATAATGGAATATTTTAAATTAATAAACAACTGAATTGAAAACAATCCGTGATATGGAAGTACTAACCAGTGGTTAGTTGGAACTAAACGTTCAACTTCAAGGGAAAAACAAACAAAACACACATTTATCTTTTTAAACGTTATATGCAAAAGATTATTGATTTTCATAGAATACAATCGAATTTTCCTCATGATGGATTTCGACACGCATTTAATAGGTCATCACAAATAGTTTTTGCATCGCCCAATAGCATTTCAGTATTTTCTTTAAAGAATATAGGATTATCAACTGCCGCATAGCCAACGCCTAATGTTCGCTTGACAACAACAACCTAGAAAAGTTTTGATTTCATAAAACAAGGAAAAGTAACGGACAATTTGGTTATTTGTAATATAATTGGTAGTACTATAGTGAACGAAAACATAGGTGGGGAGAATTAATTTATCGTTTAACGCAAAATAACACAATGGGTTAGTTAAATATGAAATACATACAGTAAATACAGTATTAACACATATACTTTGTGTTGTCTT